GTGGTTCTCCCTCTCGCCCCCAGCCCCGCTAGAGCTGGATACCATGGTGCAGACGTGGCCGAGGCTGCGCCTGTATGCCTTTCCCCCAGTCGCAGTTCTGGAGCGGGTCCGTCAGGACGGTGTCAGTCTACTGCTGGTAGCCCCGTTTTGGCCGGCCCAAGTGTGGTTCTCGGACATAATATCGCTCCTCGAGGGCCCGCCATGGCAGGTCCCCCTGACGAGGGACCTGCTGTCTCAGGCAGAGGACCAGGTCTTTCACCCTTGCCCCGCCCTGTCGAGACTGTGGGTCTGGCCCCTCAGGGGGCCTAGTTCCTGGAGGCAGGCCTCACGGCTGGAGTCTTGTCGTCTTGTCACATGATCAAATAGAAACTGGAGAAATAGAAAGATTGGGCAGCCATACACATATTACCCAGCAATCATCACTGCATATGTGGGCTATATGACATGAATACCAAAAAAAATAAGACTACATTCATTCTGTGGAATAATGTTTTTTATATTTCACCGTATACCTTATAGCCTAATGCTTGCTACAGACTTTTGTGGGTAAAATTTTACTCACAAATGTCTGTGGTGTCAGACACCAAAGAGGGAAATGCACACTTGAGTGTATATATACACGCCACTAGATCTCCATTAAAACAACCAGTTTGAGATGAGCTGATGCACCGCTGGACACAAGACTTGTTTTACTGAAAAGGCCATCGTCAGTGTCTGTGCACCAAGGCTTCAAGTCTCCATATCGCATTTGTGTTAGTCGTATATTGGACCACCATCGGCTCTGTTTATTGTATTGTCACAAAATCCTACTCGTACGCTTAAATTCAGATTTAACAAGGTGAGCACAGGGAACCAGTACCTCTTCAGCAGATGGATCAGAAAAACAAAACAAAACATTCTGCCCAGTGAAACTCAAACATCCAAGTGAGGTAATACTAAGAAAAACACATTAGAGTGGATGGGGACTTAAATAATTTAAGCATATCTACACAGCCGGGGGGGTTGTATATTGTGCACAGTCACTGCTGACACCTCCTAATCAACTACCCATTTATTAAAAACTTGGCAGACAATGAACTGTTATAGTGGAAGAGCTGCAGGTGACAGATGCAAGGTAAACAACACTTTATACCTTAATGTTTCAGTCATACAGCAAAGCATCTAGACCGCGCTGGATCACAGGCTCTGATCATGGTTGCTCATCGTATGTACAGAAAAGCTCTCCCAAACGTAGGAAATTTGGCAGGATCCATTGAAGTTTGGCTGCAGAATCCCCCAACAGGGATAGATGGTGTACTGCCTCGATGGTATACTGCCTCGCCAACTTTGTGATTTGTCAATTAATACATCCCTTTAAATACAGGCATCTACTAAGTGGTGCCACAACAGCTTTCTTTAGGCTTAATCCAAAGAATCCTAATTAGGCAGCAAATAACTATTAATGAAGCTCCAATACTCTATATCATAAATGATTCTACAGTATTAAGGAGTTATTGAAAGAAACTGTGAAACTATTTTAAAAACTTTCATATCTTACATAAGAGAGCAATTTGAGTTGCGATTTTACACATTCCATCTGTGTGTGTGTGTGTGTGTGTGTGTGTGTGTGTGTGTGTGTGTGTGTGTGTGTTGGGCAGTTGAAGACCCAGAGGCCCTGGCTCAATGGTTAATGAAGCCATATGGAAGAAGTCAGAAACCCTTTCATCCTGCAGACAACCAGAGAGAGAGAAAAACCTGAAGGAGTAAGGTATGGGAAGACAGAGAGAGCTGGTTTGTAGAAAAGGAAGAGCCTCATACAAAAAGACAGACAGACTTGGGTTGGGCCAGTAGATGATGCCATCGTCCATTGGTGATGGCTGACAGATGGTCGATGGTTGAGCAGGCATCGTGATTGTAAAACCCCGCCCCCTGGCAAAAAGAAAAATCAAAATTTTTGACATAATACCGCCATGTGAAAGCAGGTTTTAATCACCACAAACATTATTATTGTAAATTTAAAAAATACTTTGAATCTTCCTCGGAATTCTCTTCTCCCACACTCAGACACACAAACACACGAGGCCTAGGCTACACCTCAGGTAAACACACCGGCTTGACCCACCTCTCTCTGTCTCCCCCCTCGCCCGTGTACTCCACTTTCTCTGTCAGCAGTGCGTTTTATAAAGTCGCCTAAAAGACACAGAACTCGTCTTTTTTCTGAATTTTCCACCCGCGATCCGTTATCATTTCATTTCATTTATTTATTTAAGGACAGTGCACATTAATCAACATTTCTGTAAATGTGCCAGTGTTAGCCAGCAGGCTAATTTTCAACTGTCCATTGGCAAGATGTTATACTAGGCACATAAGAAAGCAGCAGGTGAGCCGCTTGCGGGCTTGTTAATGATCAAACAACCGAAACCAACATCTGCACCCTGTGTGTTCACTGCTGCTTTACCTGCTCCGTGCTTGTAAAATATCCACCGTGACTTGTAAAATAATAGGCTAACAAGTTTTTAACCGAGTAAAGTCTGTGCGAGTGAACACATGCACATAAGACAACCACTATCCCCCCCTCGTGCACGTGCGCCCCTGATGCCATCGTCCATCCTGATGTTTCAATGTAGACATTGTCCAATGGAAATTTTGTAGACATCGCCCAACCCTAAGACAGATATGTAACATTTTGCTGACAGGAAAGTCAGAAAGGAAAGGAGCAAAGCAATTGCAAAACACCATCAACAGTTTCTTTTACTGCCGTGATGTAGTACATTTACATGGTTTCATTTCCACAAAGCACAAAATGAACAGAGCATAACAATATTAACACTGACTTTCCATATTGCATGTCTTCTGGGAATTTTTTTTTTTTTTACAGAAAGAGGCATTTTTTGTACTCATTTATGAAAAGACATGCCGTTACAAATTCTCGAACATGCTGACTGAAAGAATTTATAATATTACTGTGCATTAAATTCCCAATTATTTATCATATACTAGCATAACACTACAGGACATTTGACTTAGGATTTATTAACACAAAACTGCTCAAATAAAAATATGTACAGAAGCAGACCCTAAAATAGTCTATAAAATAATATTTTTATAAACATCCCTAAAATTATAAAATAGTTTAGATCATTTCATATTACACCAACATGTAAAGCTATCCAATGGGCAATTAGAATACAAGTGGAGAAAACAAATTGTACAAAATAAATGAATGTCACGTGTCTACATCACTGTCAGTTTCTCTCATGGCTGAATTTCCAAACTGCGTGCTTGTCTCTACATAAACCCATTTAAGGCTATAATGATTTTGCTATCAAGTTCTCATTAAAGTTTTGTTTCTCCTTATGTTCTCTACCATACATATTTTTCTGCATTTGGGCCTTGCTACCAAAACCAGACAAGGCTGTTGTCAAGGCTGTGTTCACAACTTCAGTTTTGTTTCCTTGGTCTCGACATAGTTGAGTTTCTAACTGTTTTTGTTAGAGTACACCAGAGACCGGTAACGTATTCACTACACTGGTTTGGTGACCAGCCATTCTACATCAGCACCACATGGACCTGTAGGGGAAAATCTAATTAAACTTTCTTTAAGTGAGTTCTGCTACATTTCACTTCACTTGAAAAGATTCATTCATCTAGTAACTTTTAAGGAGGGACTTCTAAAATACCTTAGCAGCAAAATACACTAGTTTTAACCTCTTACAAGTTCCGCGGGATGATGATGGAATACCAAATCACCTCCACACAAACCCCTGTTTATGTATGTACAAGGGGACATTTTCAACAATGCCAACAAGTTGTTTGACATTACACTCTGCTCAGAACTAAAGCTGTAACAATAAAATATGTGCTTTAACACGCTTAGTTCATAATTCATGTGGAAAAACTCACCTTACTTGGAAAATGTTGCTTGGACGTATTTTCTGTTTCTCCTGTAGTCCTTGCATTGTTCCATTCCTTCTAACAAGCTAATTAGACTAATGACCGATCACACATCAAAGACGAGGCCCAGGGTAGAGAAGTATTTCATATTTGGAGCTTAAATTTAAAGCTGTTGCTTAAAGATTATGTAACAGATTCACAATTTTAAGGATCTCTTTCTATTTAACATTCAACCAGAAATACACATACTGTAACCTAAAGTAACCTTAAGTTTAGCGAGAATATTTTTAACTGTAAATGGTTTCTTTCCTCCAGACACCCACCATTTTTTAAACTTCTATTCACCGCCAATACTGCAGTACCCATCAAAAAGCACACAAACTAGGCGGCCCATATTTTAAACTGTACAAATACAACCTGTCCAAGAAACACACACGTACATAGTTCACACAACCTCTGTCACAGAGTCGTACCTTGACACAAATACAAATTTGTTCACAGGCTGCACAAATTGTCCCCGAATTGCATTAATTCACAGCCAATAATATGAGCTGTCAAAAAAACAGGCAGACAGGCATGCATGTGTGCAACCATGTATGCACACGCACACACACACTCAAACAAAAATTCATGGACCGTTTCATAATATCGGGCTTTCATCGATGAGGAGTGCTTGTGTGTGCTGGAATGGTAAATATCAGAGGAAATTAGTTGTCCAGCCATGACAATCTGGCCATCTGTCTCCCACAGCAGAAATAAATAAATCAAATAACTGAACAGAGAATAGATGGAGGGATAAGAGAAGGACTGTAGCTATCAGGATGTAAAAAAAAAAACAGTTAAGAATGGTGTCGTTACACGGAGAAATTATAAAATTAATGTAATGACCTGAAAAATATGTCACTTATGTTGTATTTTTTCTGGAATATGTGGGTTACTGTATTTTTTTGGGCTTGTTAAAGTGCTAAATTCATATGTAATCTAAGTTAAGATGTAAGAGTTACTGAAGTGGCAAATGTCTATTGGTTGAAGATGCAATAGGATTTAGCATTTAATTATCCTCGCTCTGTTCAGATGTGTCCAGGTAATTTAACAGTTAAGTTGTGTTTTCCTTAAAATGTTTTAAGCATGGTTTACTACATAAGATAAGCTCACTAATCATTTTGTTAATGTTAGAGATTTAGTGACTAATAAAGTATCCTGTTGAACTACGGGTAATCACGCGAGAAGGGAGAACAGAGGGAACTGAGGGAAGAGTTGCACGAGCACGAAAGCTAGTCGGCAGCTAATAGTGCTTTTACGGCACTTAACGTTTTAAGTTGGACTATTCATGGTATCGGACACTGCTCTCGCCGGCGTAGGAGTTTGTGACTGTGGGGCTACCACTGGAGGTGTGTGTATTTGCACTGGGAAGTGAGCTTAGACCTGTCAGTTTCTGTGGCTAAGTTAGCTCGTGGCTTCGCGGGACTGTGACACCGTCGTGGGAGGGACCGCAGACACACCGTTCGCCTGCTGGACAAGAGGAGACCACATCGGAACGCTGGTGTTTTCCTCCACGGAGGGCTGTGTTGCTGGTGGTGACGGACGAACGAAGCTGTGTAACCCTCGCTGTGCTGCTGCGGACAACGTCGCCCCGGTAGGATCTGGGTTTTCCACTCCACTCAAGGAGGTACTGTTACTTTCTTCACTCTATGAGCTCCAACTAAGCGCGCCAACGAACTAATGCAGGCCTGCTAAAAGAACAAACCTAAAAAAAGAGTGCACTCAGGTTATAAAAGACTAATCCCTATATTCCCCGGGTCTTTTGAGATTGTTTGTCTTTCACTCCATTATTTGTTGTTAAAATGTTATGTGATTCTTGCATAATACAAAGAAGGAAACTGAGCTATTGCGTTCTTGATGTCTGTTTCATCACATGCTCTGTATCTGAGTAGATCAGTATTTTCTGTGGTAATACGAGGTTAAAGTCAGGATTATCCCTCCAGCCTCTCATTGGTAGTAGAGAGAGTGAGAATCATAGCGTTCCTAGACACGTTTATTATACAATGGGATGTCTCTTTCACCATTTTACCAAACATTAGGATTAAGGGGGCTCAACACTTTATATGTTGCTTTATAGTGTACTTGCCTCATCACGAGCCGATGGTGAAAAGGGTTACATTAAGTATTAAGGGAAACAAAGGGAATGCAGGGAAAGAAGTAAAACAGACAGGGCCCACAGGAGTTCAAAGGATACAACAACATTAGCCGTTTCTGCCTGAGACAAATCCAACACATTGATGAATGTACACTTTTTTTGTTCTAACAGTGATAGGACCAATAAAGAAACAATAATCTAATTTACCTGTGCTCTTCTTTGAAGCTGCTCAGAAGTTGAAATGTGACTGAAGGTCTTGCAGATGACTCCCAAATCGGCAAACAGAGTTCGAGAGGCAGCTGTGTGAAAATGGATATGTATAATATTTCACAACCAGGCTAGCAAACTCGAGATATCTGTGGCTGTAAATGTATTCAGTTACTTAACATAAGTAAGTTTTAAGTAAACTTGTGGTTTACAAACAATCGCCATGCGCTTGGTCGGTCTCAAACTGTGACAAAAATTGTTTTACCTAAAGTTTTTCCTTTTTATCTTACCTTAACAAGAGTCACTTTATATACACACACAAAAAAGTATTTTACTTTGTTTACTAGCGAGTTTAAAGCTAACATGTAAGCTACTTTAGCTAGCTGCAAACCAACAGAAGATGGTAATACAACAACAGTTAGCACTCTAATAAGCTAATATTATCTGAATACAAAGCTGCTGTCAATCACATTTCAGTAGGTATGTCTTAATAAGCAACTTCTAGTTCAAGACAGATTTTTCTACATTTTGATTTGTCAAACACAAAGACGCAGACAAAACTAAATTCAGTGCAACATTTACAGACCATTTTCATGGCAGATATCTTGACATGTCTAAGCAGGAAAAGGTGTGATTATTTACAGTAGCCTAATAACAGCTGGATATTAGGTGTTCAGTTCCAGGACCCTGGTCTTGTTAGTTGTATATTGGCACACTTAAGAGCCATCAGACCTTTTTGAAAATAATACCTGTGCTAATCCTTCTATGACCAATCAAAAATGTCCACTGGTGACAAAGGTCTACTTTAACATTTTCAAAAAGAAAATTTAATATTGTACGGGCATTCACACCAACATAACTTCACTCCATGATAAAGCTCTCTCACCTTTGTCAGCACTGTTTAGCAGTGCGCTCCCCTGAGCTTCTCTGATCATTTACCAAAATGGGGTCTCAAGTTCCCTGGAGGTCTAGTTTAAAACAAACTTCACCCCTACAGCTGCAGTGGTACAAACCAAAAAGCTTCAGCACACAGTGTGGCAAGGACAATTATCCTCCTCCCATTGCCTCTCCACAGGGGGGCCCCAAGGCTCAGTGCTAGGGCACCTTCTCTTCTCAATTTATACCACCTCACTGGGGCCATTCATCACTCCAACCAGGGTGGTGAGAAACTTGGGTGTCATGATTGATGACAAGCTGTCCTTTTCAGACTATTCTGCTGCTGTCTCTCGGTCGTGCCGCTTTGCTCTATACAACATGAGAAAAATCAGGCCCTACCTCACTCAATATGCTACCCAGTTTCTGGTACAGGCCATGGTTACCTCTCGCCTCAACTATTGCAATGCCCTCCTAGCAGGTCTTCCAGCTTGTGTGGTGACACCCTTGCAAATGGTTCAGAACACAGCAGCACGTCTGGTTTTTGATCAGCCCAAAAGGACGCATGTCACTCCATTGCTGTGTGACCTCCAATGGCTACCCATGGCCTCCAGAATCAGATTCAAGTCACTAATACTTGCATACAGAGTGACTACTGGACTACTGGGTCTGTACCCATCTACCTAAACTCCATAATACAAGTTTACGTTCCTTCTCGGCCACTACGCTCATCCAACAAACGCCTCGTGATGTATTTTATGCTCTGTTAGTGATTGTATGACTTTGGATTAAAGCGTCTGCCAAATGAGTAAATGTAAATGTGTGCTTTGATACACAGAACCTCAAATTAAGATTCTCCTTCCGATTTCTTCAAAAAGGTGTATAATTAATTTATTTGGCTTTGTGTTGTCTCTTCTTGTTGGTATAAAAATGGATAGGTCAACAGTGAACAAAGAAATTACTTTGCTTTTATGCAGTTTTCAACTTACATATGCGTCCACTCCTGTGTGATGCCCTAAAAAGCTTAAAGCAGCTTTTAACTCTTGCAAACAGCCTTGAAACTGTTATCCAGGTGTTTCTAGCAAAAGAGTGCTAATCTCAGTGGGACTGGTTAAATCAAGGTTAAAGAATGTAAACCAATATCAGCGCAGATCCGCTTTGGGGTGGATTTCCCTTTTTATAGCCTCAGAAGTCCCGAAAGCTCATCTGGAACCCAATTTATCTCCCTGCAGCAGTCACAGAGGTACACTGGCTCCCCTGAGACCAGTGGAGTCAACACACCATTTCTGTGGAAAACACTATTCAGTAGTTTAGAAGCTTTTGTTCCCTTGGCCTCAAATTTGATGCACCTTGAAAAGCGATTCCTCTGCAGCATTTCTGACACAGTATTAGCTATTAGCAATCGCTAAACTGCAGCAGTAACGTGTTGCAGTCAGAGGCCTTTTACAGACCAATACATCTGGGAACATTAAAAGGATTAATACTTTAGTTGATATTGTCAGTAACAATAGAGACTCAAGCTTCATAGTTGCAAAGTTACCTCCAGAACAGCTTAGTCAAAACTTTTTTGATGGACATGCTCTTGCTGCAGTAGTCTGGAAGCATTTATAAAGTTCAGGACACGCACTGGGATTTCCATCTTGGCCTTGGACCAAGGCATACACTGCTACTCTTGGACCAAACTGATGACCCACGGCAGCAAGCGACACACTTTTCAGAAACCACACTCAATAAAGTTACAGTACAATGAAACTGGTAACTTTAGTCAGACGAAAACTTTCTGTCCTTAAATTTATTTCAGTTGTGTGCAAGCCCCCTTTTCTGCCAATTATTTAAAATCTTGACTCGAAAAATAACAAATGCACAGCAAAGTACGTAGATAGGTGTTATCGATATCCAGTATGTTCTGATCATAGTTTGATGATATGCCAACAAACATTGAAAATGCATATGTTTGTAAAAGTGCACATAGGCTTGTTTTTGGTGTTCATACTGGGTGCAGAAATTGAACTAAACAAATACACACATCCAGTGTGACAGTGAGTCAGAACATTCTGTGCTCTTATTGTTAATTGTAAGAATCCTGCACGCTTATCCCACCCTGATAGATTTATTTATCAAGCATCAGAGTAATTTCAGCCTCTCCTTATTTTTGTCAGTGTGGGTTATTCTCTTGAATCTAATCTTGTTTATGTCTGAGAAGGAATAAACTGAATATATTGATCTTGTTAATGTCTGAGGATATAATTCATTACAGAAAAAAAGAGGTCAATAAGAAGATTCATTCACTTTGCACACAACACAACTGATACTCTAAACTGCCACCGTCTGAATGCAGGGGGACAGACCGACAGGCAGGAGTGGATTCTGCAGTGTCTGAGCTTCATGGAGCCAGTGAAAAAAGGGCAACCATGTCCAATATGAGTGACATGGTATGAATTATATTCCATTAATAAAAATAAGGTAATTTATCACAAATACATGTATAAACATAAATAAATAAGATGGGCTAGTTGAACATACAAGTGTGAAATGCTGTGATAGAAGTGATAGAAAGTGGACTTCTAAATTTTATCCAGCTGCCTTGGAACAGCACCAGTGCTCAAGTTGACATACTGGCAGAGGATGTCTCAGCCAGTGTTGTCAGGGCCCTCCTGATCGCAGGGGACTTGCAGGTAGACATTGCCACACTCGTCATGCAGGAATTTGTGCTGCATACATAAGGTGACCAGATTCATTATATCATATTCATATATAGACATTATATCACTTTCCACATTACACACCAACTAATGTGACCCATGTTACTATCCTGTGTACCACTGTTGATTTGCCTGCAAGAAAGGATGTAACGGCAAAAAGCAAGTGGGGAGCAATTTGTTTACTAACGTTAACCTATAGTGATGCAGCCAGGAGCACCCAGCTAACGCTAAGTTACTGCAGCTTGGATCTGACACTGTTTGCTTTGTAACGTTCAGCTTAGGTTTATTATGGTTTTACCAACACTCAGATACACAACTTCTCCACCTCTCAGTCGTTGTAATTAACGTGAACCACATAATATTCAATACTGCAACTTCACAGCGACAACAACCCTGAGGAAGAGCCATGCACTAACACTACAGTAAAGTTACTTACTGCGATCTTATTATTATTAGTTCAACCTGAAGCTGATAAAACTATTACTTTAACATTGCAGTAGGGGTTAACCTGAGTTTCCAATATATTGTGTGAAGCTGTCTCCCTGCCTGTCTATAGCCGGGACAATAAATAAATAAATGATTATGTTAAGTTTAGCAAGCAAACAAACGCTCATTCATCTTTTCATAATGAAGGTCGTAGCTAAAGAAAGAAGCAAGCTAACATTAGATGGCCATGCTGAGCTAATCATGTTTAATAACTTCAGCATTTTGCATTCAGCGCTTCTTTTGTTTGGGCCTTGTTGTATGAAG